TCCGGATGTTCCTAATAATTGTTAGAGAGTTTATGGTAAGTATTTGGGATGAAATAATATGAATTTTGGTGAAGAAAAACATGCCAACCCGAGGAGCTCGCCACCACTGGCGCAGTCCCGGTATTTTGGCCATATCTTCTTCGTTACTTAACGAAATCGCGAGCCGTTTGTTGGGTTGGATTCGTAACGTCCCGGGCTACAACTTTGGCTCAAGAAGTATTTCGAGATAATGGATGGAAAATTTCAGTTTTTACCTTGAAGTTGCTGCTGCGCTTTTGGACTCAAAATTTGGAAACTTTGGATGGTTTTCTTGCTCCTTCTTCTTTCTTTTCTTCTTCTTGTTGCTGCCGACAGAGAGAGGAAGAGATGGAGAGGAGAAGATGAATGTTGATGATGGTGAAGATTATGATGATGATGGTAGTGGTAGGGTGATATTATAGGGAAAGGAATTGGAGGTATATGGTAGTGGGGTTGGTTTGATTGAGGATTGGAAGGGATGGGAGTGTCTCTCCGTGACTTGGAGGATTTTGGGGAATCAAATTTATTTTCTTACTCCGTAACTGATAAACTGACTAAAACGGTACGCGCTTTTTCGCCCAAACTGTTCCGAATTGAAAACAAATTGTATTTTTGGAATCAGATTGTCAAAACTAGAATTTTGACGTAATCAAAATATTTTTCTGTGAACTATTATTTTTCTCAGTGTCCGGGTCTGTCTAAGTCATAATTTAATATAATAATATAATGAGATAAAAATATATGAATTAAATCCAAATGATAAATATGATATTGTCAAGTGTCAAAATTATGATTTCTAATCTGATGAAATCACTTTTGAATTTAGTTTATTTTATGGGTCAAAGTTACAAATTTTACTATTTAAAATTGACATAACTTGAAATCTACAAATCAAATTGGTTTATAAAATGTACCGTTGGATTCGTCTCTTCGAGACATATCCATAAATATAACTTTTTTAACAAAAAGTCATTATTTCGAAAATCCATTTATTTTTAGTCAAACGTACAAATATTCCTTATTGGATAAAAACTACTTTTGTTTTATAATAAATTTTAGGCCATATTTTGTGGCGTTACAGAATTATTGAATTAAGATTCAAAATAAATGAATTAATGAAAAATGAGTTGTATTGTTAAGGCTATCTAGAAGACCTCTAAGATAGAACTCAAATTAGATTGGGCCTTGCGGGTATAAATATGTATATTCGGTGGCCTTGGGTAAAAACGTACGTTCAGGATACACGAACCAAACTAGAGGCACTCGTTTGGGGATACCACCCAACCCGATAGTTTGTATTCTACTATTCGGTTTTCTGGATTTGTACCTTAAGCGAAGGCTAGTTTAAAGGTTGGTAAATCAATCGGAATATATGTACCTTAAACTAATGACCTAGCTTAAGAGTTAGATAGAAGTACGTTGAACTAGAATTAGTTTAAGAGTTGGTAAATATCAAAAAAATTGACCTTAGACTAAGCATAGTTTAAGGATATTGTTGAATATTGAATATGAATGTTGAATGTTGAAATATTGAAATAAAAATATTGAGAATATCATGAATGGATCATATATTGTGTGCATGATATCAAATGGTTGTTTGTGAATTGAGATTCAGCTTATGTGGATGTTCGACACTTTAGATATGCTCACTCAGCTTCATCGCTGAGCGTGTAGTGTGTTTTATTTGCTACACGCAGGTAGGCAGAATGAGTGATCGGTATGTTCCTGTAGCGAAAGGGGCGAGACTGTCGTGGTGGAATTTATGATTTTTAAATGAATAATTGTGTTGTTATGAAACATGGTTTAAATTTGCTTCAACATTATTATTATTAAACACTCCGTATTTTACAACAGTTATGTATTTAATAATATTTATGATGAATAAAGGTGTTGAAATGTTTTAATTTTATTATGATTTCCAAATTAATACGTTAGTCCGAAAGGGGTTGCAGACCTGGACAGATTAGGGTGTTACAGAGCGAGAATGGTATCCGAGGAAACAAAGACCATCAATAGGTCGCCTATAATATGTGCCTGCAGGAAGCAGAGAGTTATACTACTTGAGAATACTATTAACTGTCCAGCGGGGATGTACAAGTTATGAACGCTTGAAGACAGTTAACAATGTTCTGTATAACTCATTCGAGGAAGCATGCGATGCATTGGGGTTACTTACTGATGATAAGGAATTTATTGAAGGTATAAAAGAAGCTGCTGAGTTAGGTTCTGGCAATCAGCTTAGAAAGTTGTTCGTCACATTATTAGTGACAAATACCATGAGTCGCCCGCTAATTGTTTGGGAAAAATCATGGGAACTCCTGGTGGATGGAATTTTATTTGATCGAAGGAGACTATTGCGTAATCAAGGTATTTCAATAAAGAAATAGTTTTTTAACATATTAATCCGTACATAATGCATTGTCTTGAAAACTACAATTTTTATTCAGTGCTTTGTAGAATTAAATAAGTTCCATTATTTCTAATTCTTGTTTCAGAGCTTATAATTTCTCAAGAAGATCTAAAGAATTTATGTGTGATTGAGATTGAAAAGTTGCTTAATTCAAATGGACGGTCTTTGAGAGAATTCAGTTGTATGCCATTTCCAGATGACAGTCCACTTAATACATTTCAAAATAATTTATTGGTTGAGGAGTTGAACTATGATAAAGAAAAGTTGTCATCTGATCTTATGTGATACTTATCTACGATGAATGAAGATCAGCGGAAGATATACGATGAAATAATGGAAGTTGTGACATCTAGAAAAAGAGGATTCTTTTTTGTGTATGGTTGCGGTGGAACTGGAAAAACATTTCTTTGGAAATTATTGTCTGCTTGTCTAAGATCAAATGGTAAAGTTGTATTGAATGTCGCATCCAGTGGGATTGCAGCATTGTTTTTGCTCGGGGGAAGGACAACACACTCCAGATTTTCAATTCCTTTGGCGCTAGCAGAGTGCTCAACGTGTGCCATCAAACAAGGGAGCCCAAAAGCAGAACTAATTCAACATGAAAGTTTAATCATATGGGATGAAGCATGTATGATAAATAGATTTGCTTTTGAGGCATTGGATCGCATGATGAGAAATCTAATGAAGTTCTCTAATAAAAACTCAATAAATGAACCATTTGGAGGGAAAACGATTGTACTCGGAGGTGATTTCTGACAAATTCTTCCTGTTTTACCCATTTGGAGGGAAAACACTTGTAGGTGCTACCATTAATTCTTCACATTTGTGGTCTTATTGTAAAGTTTTTAAGTTGACGAAGAATATGAGATTGCATTCATCAACGTCCTCTTGCGTAGATGGAGACACGCAAGATTTTTCTGATTGGATAATCAAAGTTGGAGACGGAAAGATTGGACAAGTGATTGATGGAACTGGTGACATTGAAATTCCTCTCAAATTTTTTATTCTAGATAAGAGTTCTCCCCTCAAAAGTATAGTGAACTTTACTTATCCGAACTTATTGGAAAATATGAGAAGTTATTCTTTTTTTGAAGGCAGGGCACTACTAGCACCCACACTCGATGTTGTAGAGATGGTAAATGAATTTTTCTTATCCCTCATTCTCGGAGATGAAATGGTGTACTTGAGTTCTGATTCATCATGCCAAGCATATTCAGATATAGGTGTTGATGACGACTGGATAAAAGTTGAGTTTTTGAATGAAATCAAATGTTCGGGAATCCCAAACCACAGGATAGTTTTAAAAAAGGGGTACCAATTATGTTACTAAGAAACATTGACCAAACATCTGGATTGTGTAATAGTACAAGATTTATTATTGACGAGATGCAAAAGAATGTTATTGGTGCTATTGTGGTTTCGGGAAATTGAGTGGGCGAAAAAGTTTACATACCCTGGATGAATTTGGTACCGTCTGATCCAGGAATACCACTGAAGTTCCAGAGAAGACAATTTCCAATAGTCTAATATATGTTTTGCTACGACTATCAACAAAAGTCAAGGTCAAACATTGTCATTTGTTGGATTATTTTTAACCAAGTTAGTGTTCATCACTCATAGTCAGCTTTATGTTGCTATTTTGCGAGTGAAGACAAAGACAAGATTAAAAATATTAGTCTTAGATGACAATGGAAATCTTTGCAACCATACCAAAAATGTTGTATACCCTAAAATCTTTTAGAAAATTTGGTATTAAAACGAACTTTGTTGTGCATAGATTCAATTCCTCAAATATTATTCTTTTTACTTTGCCTTTCTTTTCTGTGTTATTATAAATCATGTATGAAGTATATTTCCTTTATTTCGGAAAAAAATATTACATTAAAAAAAATCAGAATCGACAAGAAACACATTTGACCCCGTGTGTGGCACGGGTAGGAATACTAGTAAAATTCTAAATATTGTGAACAAGATAAATGTAATGAGATTTAATGTTTGTTCTAGACCTATTCAAAGTGCAGGCCGGGCCGGGACGGGTTTCAGGCCGGATCGAGACACTACATTACGAGAATTTTCTAGGCCTAAGTCAGGCCCGACCCGTATAGTGGGCATAACAATTGAAGCACGAGCCCAGCTCGTATGGATACCCGCGGGCTTCGGGCCAGCCTGGTCCGTCCGATAAAAACTTCTAAATAATTTAAAAAATAATTTTTTTTTAAAATAAAAATGAGTCAATATATCAGGTATTTGATACAATAACTATAATGAGTAGATGAAAGAAAAATTAATACACAAATTATATTTTGGTTGATATTGCTACTATATACGGAGTACGAAGTATTATTTATTGGAATTTCATAATCAATGTGTGATATGTTATAAACAATACAGAGTAATAAAGATGTATTCATTTTATTACATATACTTATAATTTATTTATTTTTATCTATAAAAGTATGTATGTGTGTTTATAATAGTTTGAAATAGTTTTGTTCTTTTTATTATTATTATTATTAATGTTGTTATTGTTATTTTATTATAATTATACTAGTTTGGTCAGATTTAGGCTCTATTCTCTATTCCTCCGACAAGGAGTTAGAAGACTTAAACGTCGAAGTTATTCATAACTTCAAACTTTACACTAACTATTATTGTCGACGCCACATATATAATAATGGTCTGTTCTGGTATAAAATTTGGAATAATGATAACCTCTGTAACACCCTAATCCGTCCAGGTCTACAGCCCCTTTCGGACTAAAGTATTAACTTGGTAATTGTAATAATTTAAAACTTTTCAAACACTTTTATTTATCACAATAATATTTTTCATAACATATA